AAATAAAAAATTTTATAAGTAATTTTATCCTTATTTTTTGTTCAAAATTAAATCTGTTCCTATTACCTTATTTTAGGAGAGAATTTAGATATTATACATTTTTTTAAAAAGTGTATGTTGTAAATTTTCCTCTTTAAGGACCAATTAGCAGATAGTAAGATCATAATTATGTGATGTTACCTGTCATGCACAAACCATATTAGAGGAGCCCCACTAGAATCTATCTTTTGCAACCTATGCAGGACAGACCGTAGAAGACTTTTCTACTATATATAGGATACCATGCACATAAGTATTTTAGAAGATTTTACACACATATACATAAATATAAGTCTCAAATTTCAATCAACAGTCTAATTTTAATGTTAGTTTAAGCATGAAAATTCTTTATGATCTCAATGATGAATTAAAATGTTAATTATAGTCATGTTGCTTAAAGATAATTATATGTTAATTCATTAGGATATTTAAATAATTTTATACCAATAACTTGTTGATTTCAGTAAAAAAATTTGATTTCCTTTAAACAAAATATCAAATTTGAATTTTATAAATAAATAAATAAATATTGAAAAAACTTACTTTTTATGAAGTCTAACAGGATTTAATTCTGATTAATTAAAATTTAATATGATTTTCAAATATTAAGAGTTAATACTAAAAAATTTAAATAGTTTTATAAAAAAAATTTAATATTTTAATTGTTAAAACATTTTAATTTTCAATAATTCCTGAACAGCTTAAGATTAAGTCAGAGACTTCAATAGTGTGTAGGTTTCGTGCTAGCATTTAAACTTTGAATGGGCTCGTGGATGTATGAGAAAAGCAAGGGTATAATATCTTAAATGCCCAAAAATATTCTTTTATTGATAACACCGTACATTGGCGTCAATCTCACTAAAATTACTTCTTTACCAAAACAAAAAGGAAAAAAAGAGAAAATTACCTTAAGGGTAGAGCATTGCAGTGCTGAATTTGTTTTCCTGCATAAAAGAAAAATGTTCCATCTCAAAAGGGCAGAATGATAATGAACAGAGTTTTCTAAGTTCTGCTTGTTCCAGTTTGTCTGTGTAAAACCTCTGTTCAAAGTGGCAAGAGATTAGAGTGAAAACCTAATCAAAAGGAACAAATAAATTGCAGAATTGGTGAAGTAGTTACCAGCTTCTCTTGATAGTCTAAAAATCAAACAAGGGATTATCTCCGTTAGCAAGGTCCTGGAATAAAACTTATTTCCAATCTTTTCCATTCTCCAGCTATGAAGACATTGCATTACATATCTGTAAGCTGAATATACAATGTTCGATAGCACAGTGAAAAGAGTAGATTTAAAGTGCAGAGACCTTTTCTTTCACCCTAGAACCTGACAAGCCTAACATCCTCGAGAGAGTTATGAACAAAAATTGAGCTTCTTCATCACCTTGGCATATGCAGCCGGAACAATGGCAGGTTGTCTCAATCTCCGTCTTGATTTCCTTGACTGTGTCAGACACGAAAGTATTATTAGTTACAATAAGAGTCACTAAATTTCACATTTAGATCTTCTCAGTTTTGGTTCAATTCTACAAACTAGCTGACAGAGAGAGTGCAATTGATAAATTTGTCCATTGAAGAAACCATAGCTCTGTTGTCTGTGATAAAAGAAACCTCGAATATTTTCTCGGTGTGGGTGAAAGGCTTGAAATCACTACTTTTTTATTGGTAAAAACATGACATATCTCACAAGACTTGAGATTACAAGTCATCTCTTCTGTACATTTCACAACCACTGTTCACTAGACAAATTTTCGACGAATTAGTATTAGGACTGATTAATACTGCATATTTTATATACAGTGACAACCAAATGCTCCCATTAGAACTCAGGCTTGGAGACACACAATGCATCAACTACCTTTAAACAAGAAGTTAACAGCCCATGTCATACACCTAGAGTCTAACATGTAGTGAATTTTCTTCCTCCACAAAATCTTGCAACAGTCCATTCAAAAAAAACGAAAAAGAAAAAGAAGAAGACTGCTTGAGCACATCTCTTGAGTATAAAATCAGTGTCTGCAACTGAACACACGTCTGCAGCAGTGCAAGCCATTCCCTTAAAGTAGGAAACCAATTCTACTGATTATTCATTTATTCTCTGGAGTCAGAACAAAATCCAAATAATTTTACTCCTCAACATAATGGCATCAAAGAGTAGCGGGGGACAAAACATATGATTCCATCCCACCATCAAATTTGCTAAGCATAAATAATCTACCATGATTCAAAAATCTTCAACATTGCGAGCAACAAAGAAGGTCGAACTTGCAAGTTGCATCACTAGAGGAGGCAGTTAAGATA